TTTTCTAGTCGCAAGTAAACTGCGTTACACATTCGGCTACATAGAACATATAGATTTTGGCAATTACGAACTTATTTAACCCGAGAAACACCGGTCGCAGTTTAGAGAAACTTGATCACCCCTGTTTTTCATTATTTTGAGCACTTTCCCAAAGGAGGACCACTTTTCCGTAATACGATTTGTTTTTGCATATAACATCACGGCCACAAAAATTTTTATTCAAAAGTTGGTCCGCGGATGGGAAAGTGTTGAAGGTATTTTTTTAACTCCGGGAAACCCCATCACTTTCATAGATATAGTGTATATGGCTATATTTGCAGTATCATATTAGCAATACCTAATTTCTCAGCAGTTTAAAATTTCACATTCAATTGGTTTTGTATCTTTTGTATGCATTTTTGCTACACGAAATGTTTTACTCCTTAGTTTTTTTCTTCGTTTTCATAAATGCCGACTTAGGGAAATACGGACAGTTTTCCGCCATACCTCTTTAATAGAAAAAATAAAGGGTTTTACGCACCTGTCCACCTGTAATTAAGACTCACTAGAAGGATAAAACAATTGTGTAATGTAGTGCAATCCAATTTTGTCTTCCTGTATCTTCCTGTATCTTCCTGTATTTCCTGTATCTTCCTGTATTTCCTGTATCTTCCTGTATCCTCCTGTATCTTCCTGTATCTTCCTGTATCTTCCTGTATTTCCTGTATCTTCCTGTATCTTCCTGTATCTTCCTGTATTTCCTGTATCTTCCTGTATCTTCCTGTATTTCCTGTATCTTCCTGTATCTTCCTGTACCTGTATCTTCCTGTATTTCCTTATCTTCCTGTATTTCCTGTATCTTCCTGTACCTGTATCTTCCTGTATTTCCTGTATCTTCCTGTATCTTCCTGTATCTTCCTGTACCTGTATCTTCCTGTATTTCCTGTATCTTCCTGTATCTTCCTGTATCTTCCTGTACCTGTATCTTCCTGTATTTCCTGTATCTTCCTGTATCTTCCTGTATCTTCCTGTACCTGTATCTTCCTGTATTTCCTGTATCTTCCTGTATCTTCCTGTATCTTCCTGTACCTGTATCTTCCTGTATTTCCTGTATCTTCCTGTATCTTCCTGTATCTTCCTGTACCTGTATCTTCCTGTATTTCCTGTATCTTCCTGTATCTTCCTGTATCTTCCTGTACCTGTATCTTCCTGTATTTCCTGTATCTTCCTGTATCTTCCTGTATCTTCCTGTACCTGTATCTTCCTGTATCCTCCTGTATTTCATGTATCTTCCTGTATCTGTATCTTCCTGTATCTTCCTGTATACGCTGCAACATTTTAAGGTACACTCACATGTATGTGGTTAACGTTCATTTATCAATGACTCGCATTAAGTTCAATAATCCAATGACCTACATTTATCACACAAGTTCAAATGTTCACATTCAATACTTAAGTTCAATGGCACACCTTAAGTACATAGGATCATTTACTAATATTTAAATAAAATCAATGACAAACATTTGATACATTAAATATTTTTCTAAACTTTTAAACATAAAACCAACGACTCATGTTTAATACATCAGTAATTTCAATGACAACAAGTTGAATAGCTTACATTTGATATTTAGGTTTATTGACGTACATTTAACATGTAACATCAATGAATCAAATTTAACATATTATTTGAACGATTCACATTTAACGAATAAGTTCAATGACTCAAATTTGATACATTACTTCAATGACTCATCGAATAAAGTACCAACACAAGGACTCATATTTGTTAACAGTTCCAAGCTCATAAAGTAAGTGTTTTTATATCCAAATAATCAGGTCACGTTAGAGAAAAAAAAAATAGCTATTGACTTGTATTACTCTACAATAGGTTTAAAACAAAGCTTACATCCATGTTTATCCGAAGTCATTTCTGAATAATCATGGACTCAGATTTCAATCGTAGTCTGAAAACATTTCTCAAGCCATTAACAAAAACAAACAATATGGTTTGTTGACATACATATTGTGTACTAGTGGGGGTCATGTAAGAGGGTTAAAGATCTAACCTACTTATTTTGATATGTACTGGTCACCGGGCTATTGTGAAAGCATAGTCCAGGGTTTTCTTCAGCAAGTGTATTGTTTTTTTATGAAAAGAACCAGCCAAATATTTGAAATATCAACCTCATAATGTAGTCACTAGAACCATTAATTATAAGATTCCAACAACTCGTTTTACTCCCATACACCGGGATGTTGCCTAGACAATAACCTTTGTATGCCAGAGGATAATTGTATTAATTGTACATATATGTACTGTAAAGCGCTTTAAAGTGGCGCTTTAGATGGCTTATGTTAGCTAGATAATCAAACAGGCAGATGAAAGAAGATGTCTGAATGGAGTGGATCCTACAGGGGGCATGAGTCAGGGTGCAACATCCTCGAGATTCTAGGAGTTGCATTCTTTTGCGTTTTGTGCACTCCTGTAAAATGTCATGATGAAACCGAATGCTCTGTATACACCTCTTTGTAGATGACATGAATAGACTAATTTGATCTTTTGGTGTACACAAGAAGAATCTCGAGAGGCAATGTCACAGTATAAGTGACCTGTTTTTATCGCGGATGCCACCCCTCTGTTTTTATCGCGGATGCCACTCCTCTGTTTTTATCGTGGATGCCACCCCTCTGTTTTTATCGCGGATACCACCCCTCTGTTTTTATCGCGGATACCACCCCTCTGTTTTTATCGCGGATGCCACTCCTCTGTTTTTATCGTGGATGCCACCCCTCTGTTTTTATCGCGGATACCACCCCTCTGTTTTTATCGCGGATACCACCCCTCTGTTTTTATCACGGATGCCACTCCTCTGCTTTTATCAAGGATGCCACCCCTCTGTTTTTATCGCGGATGCCACCCCTCTGTTTTTATCACGGAGACCACCCCTCTGTTTTTATCACGGATGCCACTCCTCTGTTTTTATCAAGGATGCCACCCCTCTGTTTTTATCACGGATGCCACCCCGCTGTTTTTATCGCGGATGCCCCCCCTCTGTTTTTTATCGCGGATGCCACCCCCCTGGTTTTTATCGCGGATGCCACCCCTCTGTTCTTATCGCGGATACCACCCCTCTGTTTGTATCGCGGATGCCACCCCTCTGTTTTTATCGCGGATGCCACCCCTCTGTTTTTATCGCGGATGGCACTCCTCTGTTTTGTTAAAGTAAAAGTATCAGCCAAGTTATTGGTACTCTCTGTATGAAGGTCAGTTGATGGATAATGAATTCGGACAGAGCAAAAGGTCAGCATCCTTAATCTATTTTTTTTACGAATGTAAAATAATGGCATAAGTTCAGGGACAATCATTAAAACACTCAACAACAAAACCTGAAGACTCCTATAATAATCGGTAATCTTTTATAGGTGGTGACGTAGCTACGTGTAACAGCAGGAAGGAATTCGCTGTATTGTAACCAGAAGCACATCCAATCGTATTACGCACGCGTGCATTCAACTCACTTTAAATAAAGTCTTACCGTTCAATGGGAGGTAACTCGTAGTTTCGAAAGTATTTTTTAGCCCTGCTACATGGTTCATTTATGAGACCCTATACACATTACTGTCATATTTTGCTATGCTCCCTAAGTAATATAGGGTACAACGCCAATGTAGTACACTAATAGACAGCATTTTATTTTCGGTAAATAGACAGCAATGTTTCCGTATAATTTGGGATTGTCTATATAACCATAATACATATGGTTAATTCAATATTCATTGGACAGTTTCTTGAAATATTATCACTTCAGTACTGAATATCAATTAATATATAATATGTATTTTAAATATTTGGTATATGATATATAATCAATCGACCGGTTCGATATCAAGTACATTATGATTATCGATTGCTCCGGGTATCATACTGCCGTCATAAGTAGGATTGCATAGAAGTTGTACTGTGATTATATCTAGACCCGTGACAATTAACAGATCATAAAAAGAAAAGAAAACTTAATATGATAAACAATGTATCAATAAACCATAGTAAAGACAGCTATGTGATATCGAGAGTACAGCTTCATCATTTTACCTGAGTTACAAGACTCTTTTGAAACTGTTTTACTTTTAACCCCCTTGTTTTTGTCAAAAAAATAATATTAGCGTACCGAATTGCGCATAAATATGTGTACTAATACAAGAGTACTCTATTTCCTCGTATACATCTTGGATGTCCCCCGTAGACCGTTTACACATTGGTGTAGTCCAGGTATTTCGTTAGTAGTATGAGGTTTGGCTACATGTTTTATATTTCTATACACTACAAGTTATATATTTATATACACTACGGGTTATATATTTCTATACACTACAGGTTATATATTTCTATACATTACAAGTTTTATATTTCTACACACTACAGGTTATATATTTCTATACACTACAAGTTTTATATTTCTATACACTACAGCTTATATCTTTCTATACACTACATGTTATATATTTCAATACACTACATGTTATACATTTCTATACACTACATGTTTTATATTTCTATACACAGCATGTTGTATATTTCTATACACAACATGTTGTATATTTCTATACACAACATGGTATATATTTCTATACACTACATGTTTTATATTTCTATACACTATATGTTATATATTTCTATACACTACATGTTATATATTTCTATACACAACATGTTATATATTTCTATACACTACATGTTTTATATTTCTATACACTATATGTTATATATTTCTATACACTACATGTTATACATTTCTATACACTACATGTTTTATATTTCTATACACAACATGTTGTATATTTCTATACACAACATGTTATATATTTCTATACACTACAGGTTATACATTTATATACTCTACGGGTTATATATTTCTATACACTACAGGTTATATATTTCTATACACTACATGTTATATATTTCTATACACTACACGTTATACATTTCTATACACTACATGTTTTATATTTCTATACACAACATCTTATATATTTCTATACACAACATGTTATATATTTCTATACACTACATGTTATATATTTCTATACACTACATGTTATATGTTTCTATACACTACATGTTATATATTTCTGTACACTACATGTTATATATTTATATACACTACAGGTTATATAATCTGTAGTGTATATAAATATATAACCTGTAGTGTATATAAATTTATAACATGTAGTGTATATAAATGTATAACATGTAGTTATAGAAATATATAATCTGTAGTGTATAGAAATATATATTTCTATACACTACATGTTATATATTTATATACACTACAGGTTATTTATTTATATACACTACATGTTATACATTTATATACACTACAGGTTATTTATTTATATACACTATGGATTATATATTTATATACACTACATGTTATACATTTATATACACTACAGGTTATTTATTTATATACACTATGGATTATACATTTATATACACTACATGTTATATATTTATATACACTACAGGTTATTTATTTATATACACTATGGATTATATATTTATATACACTACATGTTATATATTCCTATACACTGCATGTTATATATTCCTATACGCTATGTATGTTTCAGGGAGCTCCTACATAAGGATACTGGTAACGAGAACACATCATGATTTCTTTGAAATAAAACACTATATATGTAGTAATTTATAATTTTAGGGACCTTAACTTGCTACATACATGGCCGCCATGTATTCAAGAAATTTAAAAAGTAATAGGAACCTTTGTAGAAATCTTTTTGGTAATCAATTATGATTTTCGTTATTTGTGCTACAAGGCAGGATGTAAAACTCTTCAGAGTCACTCAAGGTCAGTTTAGATCTTGATACGAATTAGTCTCGTTCAACCAGACTCTTGTTGCATGTGCAAGCTACGCCGAGCAGAGAGTCTGGGCAAACCCAGTGCTTTCTTTTTGTGACATCATAACGAGGCTTACCAGAATTCTGGTAAATGATTTCATTGGTCAAATGTTGACATACCCTTTTCAACTTTTGAAGTCAGAATTTGAGCGAAGCAAAATTTCATTGAATATATTATTCATAAAAAAAACTACCAGTACATGCATTCCTAAAGTATCCATGATTTCACTATTAACGAGAAAAATGTAAGAAAATGCTTCAAAAAGAATGATTTCGCGTATTTTCAATGGATATTTTACAATAATTCTTGAATATAACAAGGCTATTGATACAAATCAAGCCAGATTACCTGGGTGAGACTT